AGTTTTCTAACAATGTTTCATTTTCTTGAGGTGTTCCTACCGTAATTCTTAAACACCCTTCACAACCAAATTCATTAGAATACAATGTTTTTCTCACTATCAAATACCTATTAACTTTTTATCTACTAATTAAACATTTCAGACTAGGCATGTGTATGGCTGACCCAAAAATAATTCGTTTAATGAATAATGCTAAAGCACCATATAACATCAGTGCTTTAACATCTCATGTTGCACTCAATGCATTATCATTACAAAATATAGAAAAAATGCGTGAAACAGTTTGTAAAATTCTTGCAGAACGTGCTAAACTTATGTCATCTATTACTAGTATAACTGGTATTGGCAAGATATTAGGCGCAAATGATGCCAATTTTATTCTTGTACAAGTTTTAGATAAAGCTTGTGAAAAGCCAAGTAGCAAGAGAGCTCAATGGATTTATAAAGAAATGGCAGAACGTTTAGGAGTAGTAGTCAGGTATCGAGGTAATGAATTTGGTTGTGAAGGGTGTTTAAGAATTACGGTAGGAACACCTCAAGAAAATGAAACATTGTTAGAAAACTTGAAACAATTATTGGAAGGAACTTCTACTAAATCTAATTAGCATTACTGTTTTTTTTTTATCAATTTCTCATTGTTCTCAATAACTTTTTAATTATTTAAGCAAGTAAATTCAATAAAGACATTGCGTATGTAATGCAGTATTAGAACAAATTTAAGTAATTACATGTGCCAATAGTTGTTTACTTAACCACTTAATCACTGTTAAGCCTTTGATTTTGCCTCACAAACCCTTTTTAATTTTTCCTGTGTCTCTTCGATCTTACGTGTAGTTTCATCGATAAGATCCATTCTTTTAAATATTTATAAATTTGAGTGAATATATTCATATCATTTAGGGTTATAAACGAATGCATAAATACTTACTCTTTATTAAGAGCATTTTCCACTTTATTAAGTTGACTTCCGCTCAAAATAACGAATTGCTTTGATTGTCTAAGGGAACGCCTGGGCGATAAAAGCCGGTAATCTTGACTAAGTGTCATATGACGCGTCTCAAGCTATATGCATTTTTAATGTAATAAAGAGAAAACAAGATTTGACATAAGAATGAAGGTTCAACGAATCAATTATACGGATAAGATTTAATCAAACCTGTTTGATTTTAACACGTAATCCATTTCCACCTTTGAGGGCATCATTTATCTTTTCTAAAGCCTCATAATACTGTAGTTCAGATTCACCAGGTATAGGATCATTCTGATACATTAATTTCTGAAGGATAGTATCAGCTTTACATTCAAGATATACTTGATTGTTCCTCAGATATCGCATACGGTCCAATAACTCTGGATATTTTTTGTCAGTAAAATCATGTAAACATTCACGAATACGCGCAAGATCGGTGATCTGACGTTTTTTAAACTCTATGCTTTGATCTCCGACTCTAAAAATTAAGTTGTCAGAATAATATATAGTCAATGTCAAATGTTTTTCAATTAATTTAGCTGACCTTGAACAAAGAGCCTTAATTGCTTCCTTCATTTCAAATATTTCATGTTGTATAATATCCATTACTGATTGAAGGAATTGTGTATCAATCTCATCACCAGCCCCTCCCGTCTTTTGTGGGACACGTGGTAAAACAAGTTTTGGCTGACGCATAAGGCCTTGGTAATTTAAGTATTTCATCAATGATTCAGGGAAACGATGAGTTAAATCAGAATTGTTTCTTATGTGATTTTCAACATCATTTTCAAATCTGTATCGATAAAGATCATCCATTTTTTCTACTTTTCTGATTGATAATTCATGGTAAATCAATTGTAGAGTAGATGAAATCATTAACAATGCATAAGAGAGTTGAACATCGCTCATCACTGATAATCCAATAAGAGGGTCTGGATCACTGAAATTTACAATAAATTGTTGGGAACAATTATGTAACACAGGAAATAAGCATATTTAATATATATATCATTAGCTAACCTTGGTAAAGTTCCAGCAATCCAGTTGACATCAGACTTTCTGTTTTTCTTCAAAAAGTCTTCCATTGCCATTTCATCTTCAACGTTTTTCATTATTTCGTTCAAATCATCCAACCAACCTTTAAGAACTATGCCATGAACACCCGCAAAATGGTATACATAAAATGTATCTGCATAAAATGGATCCTGCACCAGACTTGGATTGTTCATAGAGTTTGTTATTCGTTGGCTTCGCCATGAAGTAGGGACGACAAAATTTTTTATGAAACCAAGATCTATACATTCATATAATATTAGGGTCGGATTATCAATGTCCAATGCACCCTATAAATTGATGATCAATTGATGATACATTGATGATACATTGATGATAAATTAATGAGTTAATAAATAATATGTAATATGTACCAAAATACATTATATTTTATCAGGTTAAAAAAAAAAAAAAAATAAGGCTTTTGATATTCATTGATAGCATACATCAATTTTCCACAAGGCTTCCACGCGATCAACCTCAAGACAAACATCTACTCGACCATTGTTAAACGCTATCACGATAACGTTAACCGGTTGTGTTCCCAAGCAAATTATATCACTAGCATCTGTCATATGTGCTGATAATTCCCATGGTGTTGGTTGTATGAAATACGGACCCTGTAATTGAATTGATTGTCGACCGATTGCTGGGGGACTGAACACGACCTTATTCGAATCGCTATTCCCGATTTGTTTATAAATAGCAGACATCCATTCAAATTGTCGTCGATACTGATTGAGTAAATTATAACAATTTTTTACTTTATGCTCAACTACTAATTTTTCAACTTCAGAATATTTTTTGGAGATAAGGCATGCAAGTTGATCGAGGAAAACTTTATTACAAATACTAAAAAAAAAATGGTAATTTAATGATTATAAGTCGATAATAATAACTTTGAAAGATGTGACCTACCATTTGTTCGGAACAACGGGGCACATCGAATATATATCACCGCTATCGGTTACAACATAAACTATAAAACTACCCCATCCTTCTTGACCTTGCCCAAAGCAAAATGATACTGCTTTGGTGGATTCAGTACTAAATGACACGAATTCATTTTGTGGAGTCGGTGAGAAACAGAATACTTGTTCTGGTTCATTGACATCCTCGAGAACGTTGTACATTCTGAAAAAAAATCCATACATATATATATATATTTTAATCACTAATATTACCAAAAAAAAAAAGAGATAATATCAAGCCCAATCGAAACCTTAATTTCATATCCTCAGTTAAAACTACTAGATGGGAGCCGGACTCACTCATAGGATGCCATAAAACTTTTGCTATAGGACTTGATCCGACAACATGATAATAAGTACCTATTTTGTAATCTCTAAAATATATACAGACATTAAATGTAAATAAATCAAAACAGAATTAGGAAACATTATATAATCAAGAGAAAAGACTTTCTTGCGGCGACTTCTCTCACATGCTGAAAAAGAAGTAGATTTTGGCATGACTACCACAGACACTTCATAATCACCAGCAACAGCAATTAAAGTTCCTTTTTCTTTGAAATTGACAGTAATTGATCTTATATTATATGTTATATAAGGTGTATCGAGAGTTACATATTTAACATTATTAATCCATTCAGGTAAATATTCTCCATCGTCAATATCATCTTGACCTAATTCATCACGCTCGGCAGCCTGACGCCAAGCATACTTGAATTCCATTAAATTCAAGACTCTTATCTCAGAACCTACAACCACTATAAGGTTTTTACTAATTGAAGCAGTTAAACATGATTGTTTTCTTGGTGTATTTTCGTATGATTTCGATGCTTTTTAAATAATAGATTACAAATTTATCAGAATTTTTGAGATCATAAGGCTAACTAAAGTAAAGAACCTTACAGCCATTTTCCAACTGTTCTACTTCATTTGTATGAAATATTGGATGATATGGAAGAAAATCCGACCAATTAAGCGTATCTATCGGATCTTCCTCAAAGTCACTACACATGAGGTTTTGAAAATATTTTGCTCTTGATGTAAACTTATATGGTGAAAATCATATAATTTGTATGAAATTCCCGCTCTTGCTCAATAAGGAAGATATTAATTTTTGTAGATCTACCGTGATAATTAACCAATCAAAATACATAATTTTTTAAAATTATCGTAATACTGTATACTAGAAAACGAAAAAAAGAACTTTATATAAAGAGGCTTATAAACTGATAAATATGCGAAAGAATTATTACACATATCTAGAGAATAGATAGACACGTAAATGTGATATTTATTACTAATAGATCCAAACTCATTAAAGAATTTACAAGATATAAACCAAAAATTTTAATTTACAATTGACAAACCCAAACACATTACAAGAACCGATCAAGTTTTTAAAGTGGATAATCAATAAAGATGTTATATCTAAAATTTTGCTAATGAAATAGTATGAAGAGATCTTATATTTGAGATATGCTAATGTAAAAGACTACAGGACTATGTTAATACGGAAAAGTTCCGAAAGTAGAATGTAAAATACGAGCATGGTCTGAAAAATTTTGGGAGCAAACTTCCAAAAATTTTCGCGATATGAGACACGGTGACAAATATGATTTATTTTAAAGCAATATTGAAGTCTTATATTTGAGATATGGATAATATGCGTCAATATAAAGTGCTAACAAAAAAAAATTTACTAAGATGCCCAAATATAACCTCATATATAATTCTTCGGGTCCTCATTTCGCTCATAATTTCGACACCCATGTATAAAAGCTACTATACATTAACTGTTGTTTTGATAAAAAAGGTACACTTTGAAATATGAATTGGTCATACAACGATTAATATCATGGAATTTGTTTTGTCGGAGTAAATGATTGGCCGCGTTTCAGCCGATCACCTTGCTTCGACAGAACCCAGCTACCATTATGAAATTTAATTAACGTTAAGGTTAGAGTCAGATTAGAACCTGTATAGATTAGGTTCTTATAGGTAAAATCGCCCCCACATTTTTTCTTAATGAATCAAGACAATTTTTACTTTTTTTGGGGGTCGTCTAAAGCCATGTACCCACGTGATTTTGACGGTTTAATCGTTTAAATTAAGGTTAGGATTAGGGTTGATATAAGAAGAGAGATACAGTCGAACCTAAGTCGAACCTCTATAATTGCACCCCCTCGGGACCATAAGATAAATTTTTAAAAATGTTCATTTAGAGAGGGTGCATTTATAGAGGGTATTTTTACTATGTTTTTATATACTTGGGACCATGCCAGGGATATGGGTGCAATTATAGAAGGTGCAATTATGGAGGTTCAACTGTATAGGTAAAATTGCCTTCCCGACATTTTTAATTAGTGCCCCAAGATAGGTTAAGACTGTCGTTTCTTCTTCGGGCTGATCCGTGTAAACAAAATTTCTCAATTTTTGTTGGTTGATTTACACAAAAAAGTTACGTGGGTACATGGCTTTAGACGACCCCTTTTTTGGTTTGTGTTACTCGCGCAAATAAGTAAACTGTTTGCGCTACAGCACCAGCAGGAGGGACTGTCCCAAATTAGGAAATGATCGGCCATGGTTACACAATTGTAAAGAAAAATTTTTTATATATTTTACAATACTTTTTTTAGAAGCTCGGGTGTTACAATTCTTGTATGAAACACAGGTTGGCATTTAGTAAAATTGAAGCTTTTGCTTTGCTTTATAACATATTTCATTAATCCCCATTAATCCCACAACTTTTATATTACAGTTTGTGAAGTGAAAATATGACTGAAACTAAGGAATGCTTCGAATGTAGAACCACCGAGTCAGGCAAATTTCGCTCTTTAGGGTCACAAAAATGGAGAGAGATTGAAAGTAGAATGTTAGAAAGGAAAAATTAGAAAGAGGGTACAGTTTTATGTAACAAGTGTTATATGACTTATGTTGAAAATTCATTAAAAAAAAGTATTAAACGACTAAAAGTTATTGAAAAAGAGATGGATATTATTATTAGGGAAAAACCTGAGACCATTTTTAGAGTAGAAGAGGAAAAAATCATAGATGAGGATAATGTAGACATGGTTGATCTTGTTGGTGCTATCAAGGAGATGTCTGGAATTTTTTATAAAAGAGAGTATTTGAAAAAAGAAGGTTCAATATATTTGTATGATAAAATGCAGGAAATATTTAAAACGAACAAACCTCTAAAAAATTTTCTTGACCAGTTATATCGGTAGTTAAGCCATATGAACGCAACCAACAAACGATGGACCGTATGAAGAAATTAATAGTGTATATATATTATCTTCTTGCATCTTTATATAATTCAAAAATTAATTGTTTAAAGTTTGATCTTGCGTTATATTTAGATTCTGTAGATACAAGCAATGAGGGCATAAATACAATGGCAAATCTTGGTGTTTCTACCACATCAAGATTAGTAAATCATAAAAAAAAAAAACTTTCGAACACACATAAAGAATATGTGGAAAATTCTCTTAAAAAATTTACGAATAATGCTTTTATGTTGAATGTTGATGATTATCATAATATTCATGTTCAATATAGTGCTAATATGCCCTGGCTGGCCCACATGGTGACAATTATCCTTTAAACCGTCCAGCAGCTAAATATACTCGCTAGAATATTTTTTTTTTTATTTTTTTATAATTGCTTAAAATTTTATTAAGAATATGTACCCCTATTTCTAAGCTAAAATAAAAATTTGAGATAT